GAGCCTGGGGACAGATGGAGCAGCAGTCAGGGGAGGGGGGGGGGGGGGGGGCTGGTGCAGGCGGCGCGGACGCCCGTGGCCGGTCCTGGCCCCCCACCCCGGGAAGCCCCCGCCCCGCTCGCGCGTCCCCAGTCCCCGCAGGCTTGCCTAGATGAGGACTGGGGACCCATGGGCACGAGGGACCCACCGCCACAGGGCACCTGGTGCCGCACCCTTGCTTCCAGACCTGGGCCAGTGGCCTGACGCGTGATAAAGCAAAAATAATCTGTTAATGAGTAAGCCAGCAGACACTGCCCCCGGGCGCTCGGGAAATAAGGTGCCCAGGGCCACTCTGAGGTCTGCCCCCTCCTGCTCACGCCTGTGTCCGGTGCTGGGACCTGAGCAGAGGCTGTCTGGACCTCATCCCTCGTCCTCACCCTCACCCTCATCCCTCATCCTTGCAACAGCCCCTCGAGATTGCTGTGGCCATCACACCCACTTAACAGGTGAGAAAACCAAGGCTCAGGTGCATCCAGTCGTTTGCCCCAAGCCGGGATTTGAACTCGGGTTTCGCTGGCGCCAGGACTTTGCACTGCAGGGCACTGTGCCGCCCCTCGGGTGACATTGGGCAGCAAGGGTGAAAGGCGGTGGAGGTAGGGGCTCCCCCTGACTCACAGGCCTTGCAGTTTAGTGACGAATGTGGGAAACAGAATTGTGTGCGGTAAGATGGTCACTTTGCAGAGAAATAATCGGTGACAGTCGTGGAGTCCAGGGCTGCGGGCTGCAGTGGCCGTGGCGGGTGGGAGGACAGTAGGAGGCTCAGAGTCTGCTGGGAGCACGCCAGCCACTGCCAAATCCAAGGTCCACTGTTCTGGGCCGGGTGACACCGTTGATGATTCATTTCCTTCTGTCCCCTGTGTCACCTGTTTCCTCTCAGTCATTTCTTTAACCTGTTTTGTTTTTCCTTCTCCTTTTTTTTTTTTTGAGACAGAGTCTCACTCTGTTGCCCAGGCTAGAGTGAGTGCCGTGGCGTCAGCCTAGCTCACAGCAACCTCAAATTCTTGGGCTCAAGCCATCCTCCTGCCTCAGCCTCCCGAGTAGCTGGGACTACAGGCATGCGCCACCATGCCCGGCTCATTTCTGTTTTCTATATATATTAGTTGGGCCAATTAATTTCTTTCTATTTATAGTAGAGACGGGGTCTCGCTCTCGCTCAGGCTGGTTTCGAACTCCTGACCTTCAGCGATCCTCCCGCCTCGGCCTCCCAGAGTGCTAGGATGACAGGCGTGGGCCACTGCGCTCGGCCTGTTTTTCCTTCTCTTGTTGATATCCCCTTGGGCTCAGTGTTCACGTTCTCCAACATTCTTGTGAAGCAAACGTATTCACGTTCCCGGATTTAACTCTCATCTCTGTGATAGCAACTCCCCAGCTCATCTCTCCAGCCTGCCCCTGACCTGGGAGTCCAGACCCGAATCCCTCAGATATTCTGATCTCTGCTGGCCCGTTCCACTGTTGGCCTGAACACGCACCAGGATCCAACACTTCCAGTCCCGAATTTATCATCCCTGTCCTTCCACGAGGGTCTTTGTTCAGGTCTCCGCGCCTGGACGATTGCATCACCCTCCACCCCGGTCCTGTTGCCCTGGCAGTCCACCCAGCCTCTACAGATCCCCTGGAAAGCTCTGGATAGCTCAGTCCTTTTGGTGACCTGCCTAGATGGAGTGGGCCTTTCTTGCCATCCTCCCTTAGCACGCTGTACGTACCTCTAGGGAGAGAACCCTTTCCACGCTGTGCGACTCTTGACTAATCTGCCTTCCCTTTTCGACTGAGACTTCCTTCAACAGTGACTTTGTCTCATCCTGCTTCCTACCCTCTGGCCTGGCCCCGTACTCACGTAAGGATCTGTGTAGTTAATCCCCTTGGGATGCATTGCCACTTTGTTTTGAAGGACACGATTTGTAGACAATGACACATTTCACTGTGCACAGCGTGACATTTCACTGTACTCTAAATCTGACCTGCCACCCTCGGGGCAGTTAATGTCCATGTGCTGGTGGAAGAGGGAGCACGAGAAATTGAGTTTGCAGATGGACTGATGACAAAATGAAAATAAATTTTCCAAATAACTGCAGTTGATACTGCGGGTGTTTATTATTATTATTATTATTTGTTTATTTATTTATTTTTGAGACAGAGTCTCGCTCTGTTGCCCGGGCTAGAGTGAGTGCCGTGGCGTCAGCCTAGTTCACAGCAACCTCAAACTCCTGGGCTCAAGCAATCCTCCTGCCTCAGCCTCCCGGGTAGCTGGGACTACAGGCATGCGCCACCATGCCCGGCTAATTTTTTTTTTTTTTTGTATATATATTTTTACTTGGTCAATGAATTTCTTTCTATTTTTAGTAGAGACGGGGGTCTCGCCCTTGCTCAGGCTGGTTTTGAACTCCTGACCTTGAGAGCGATCCTCCGGCCTCGGCCTCCCAGAGTGCTAGGATTACAGGCGTGAGCTACTGTGCCCGGCCACGCAGGTGTTTTTAAGTTTGGTGTAAACATTCAGTCCTGGCGTAGTGACTCTGTTCTACTTTCCTTAGACGCTGGGTCAAGGAGTCAGCAGAGAACACTGAACTAGAAGAAGAACAAGCACGAAGACGTCATGGCTTCGATGTCTGCTCATGAAAACCAAGATCAAGGTCCCCATTTCCCACCTCCAAGCAAGCGGGTATGTTTTTAACTGGGGGGCCTGCCATCTGGAAAGAAATAGCAAGCAAGACTTTCCTTAAACCCCATCCTTGACCAGCCCTCTTACTTACATTTTTCAGTCTGTTCTTTTGCTGGATAATAAGTTCAAGGAAGATGGAATGGGGAAGGAAGGGGTCTTTTTGGCTGCCTTGAAAAGAAGCATTTTAAAAATTGTATTCACAAAATCCTTTCTTTACTCTTTCCTGTTTAAAATCCAGCTTTAAGCAACTCTCATGTAAACTGTCAGCGACTAAAGTGGTTTTCTGTAGTGGAGCAAAGCTCTTAATTGAATCTAGCAGAATGATCCATTTTTGTTTATTTTTTGCATTTTTGTTACCGGGGGTAATTATACTAATCCCACACTGCTCACAGATGTTCCTGTTCAGGATAGCAGAGTCCTTAATTACTAGTTAGCCGCCAGATTGAGAACCCACACACTCACATTGACACAATATTTCAACTTGTTAGGAATGAGTATTATGTGTTTCAGGAATATGTGCATGAAGAAAAGAGGAAAGTATTTGATGGGTAAATGGAGTCCATGTTCCAGCTAAGAAAGAGTGCATGGGCCGGATGTGGTGGCTCACGCCTGTAATCCTAGCACTCTGGGAGGCCAAGGCAGGAGGATCACTCAAGGTCAGGAGTTCGAAACCAGCCTGAGCAAGAGCGAGACCCCGTCTCTACTAAAAATAGAAAGAAATTCATTGGCCAACTAAAAATATATATATAGAAAAAATTAGCCAGGCATGGTGGTACATGCCTGTAGTCCCAGCTACTCGGGAGGCTGAGGCAGGAGGATCGCTTGAGCCCAGGAGTTTGAGGTTGCTGTGAGCTAGGCTGA